ATGGGACCATCTAATGCACTCATTTAAAACCAATTTTTAAAGAAATCCTCAAGAAAAGCAATTAATATCTATTTAAATGAACAAGGTTGACATTGAAAAAGAATTGATTCCTGGATTAGCACATGGAGAAGCACTTTTCTCCATACCTGCTAAAAAAATGAAACCAAAAAAAAAAAAAAAAAAGGGCACAGGGCTGGGAAATTTAGAATATCTGTATCTCCCTCCCCAACTTACATGTATTAGGAGGCCAGCCTCCAAGGTAAGGGGGCAGGTGGTTAATCGGTCTCGGATACGGAATCCTCATTTTTTAAAAAAAGATGACCGGTAAGGGGATCTTAACCCCTGACTTGGTGGTGTCAGCACCACGCTCAGCTAGTGAGCAAACCGGCCATCCCTATATGGGATCCGAACCCGGGACCTTGGTGTTATCAGCACCACACTCTCCCGAGTGAGCCACGGGCCGGCCCCCGGAATCCTCTTGAGTAAGGTGGAAAACCGAGGGCTGCTGAGTTCAACAGTCCTTGTCCAAAATGCACTTAGTCCTGGAGATCCACATTCTCACACCAGGAACATCACAGTCCTGGCACTCTCTCACACACACCCCCATTCTCTCTCTCTCTCTCTCATGCACACAGGTGTGGCGCTTCTTAGACTTTTGAGTTTGTGGCTTTGGCTCCAATCAAGCATAGGCAAGACTAATACCCCTCTCCCCCAGGCCAGGACCGTCTATGCATGTGTGTGTCTCAGCTGTCCGCTGCTAACTCCCCTCTCATTGTGGATGTGTGCCTGGCCACACAGGGAAGCCAACCCCCATCCCGTGGCAGTCGCACCAATTCCCGAGGTGACCTGCTCTAGCCCTGCCTGGGGTACAGGGTGATGAGTGGAAATCAGCTGACTGGGGCGGGGCCTGGTCTGGGAGGTGCAAGGGAGGACTGGACAGAAGACTCCACTGTCACCGTCCTAAAGGCCTGGGATTTACAGACCTGATTCTAGGCAGGAGGTGGGGGGTGGGCGTGTACAGCCGGGAAGGAAAACCACAGCTACTTCATGATTCATACTTCACCTTGACACTGAGTGGGCTCCAGGGGCATGTTTATCTAACAGTGTTGTTCTTATCTGGGTTTTGGCCACTGCACAGTTGAGGGAAGGGGGAGGCCCAGAGAAGCAGGTGTTCACACCCACACGGGAGGACTCCCCATGTCACACAGGACACATAGAAATAACCAGAGTTATCATTATCACTCGCACGCGTGCATGCACACACGGGTAAATGCCCAAAGTGACTGTGCCACAAAGCCTGTTTCTTTGCTGGCCCTGCACAGACAGGATAATGCACACCCCTCCCTGGCAGCATCGCAGAGGAGCAGGAGCCCCTGGGGAGATTCTTCCCCCGGCCCTTGGTGTTGTTGGGACACAAGTCCCCTTCCCCACCTTGGAGCAGAACTCAGCAAACCCTCTTGCCCTCCCAGCTACTCATGTCTGGTCCTTCCCAGGGACTCCGTTGTACCAGACGGGTGTGATTGCTTCCCAATCCCACCCAACTGTTGGTGCAACATTGTGCCTGGAGGTGTAGCTAGCCAGCCGCCAGTGCTGAGAGGAAACTCATTAAACCTTCCTAATGACAAACGCTCTGGCAGGCAGGAGGCAGGCGGAGAGCAATTGCTCCAGAAACCGGCCAGATGGGAGTAGGCTCAGGTGACTGTTCATGAGATTCAGCCCTGGTGGGGAGGGGCTCTCTGAGTCAGGCTTCATTTTGCTTGGGCCCCCAAGCCCTGCTAACCTGCCACCCCCACAATCCTGGCTGGTCCCCATCAAGTGGGGGGGAAGGTGAGTGGGCAGGTGTGACCATGTCTCCACCTAACAGACTCACAAACCCCCTCACTGAACTGAACCCCCAGCCCAAGCCCTGGCTTGGTGGACAGGCAGGCCACACGCACAGCCCCCCATGCTGGCAGGGGTTCTCACCCCAAGGTAAAGGGAGGACCTCCCTGACACCCGCCACAGGAATTCCCTCTGCTCCAGGACAGCCACTGGAATCTGCATTCCTCTCCCCAGCGCACCCCACCTCCATGATCCCTGGTCTCAGATGCGCCTGGCAGAAGGCCCCCCCCACTATACTAGAGGGGAGGGGCCTGCTGCCATGGTAACAGCATCTGCAGAGGGTGCTGGGTCTGGTGGCTGGACCCAAGACCAACATGTCAGAATTGCTCGCAGTGGAAGGGAAGCAGGCATCGGGATGCCAGGCATAATTCATTCTAATTGGAGAGTGGCCTGTGTGCATGAGGTGTGGGGATGTGCAGAGGACACTCAGGGCTGAGAAGCTTCAGCCTGGCCCTACCAGGATTCCCCAGCTCCACCCTCAACCTGCTGAACGGAAAACTGTGCGGTGCAATGAGGCCCCTGCATCCTTGAAGAGGACCCAGAGCTGGCCTGGCACACGAGGGTTGACAGCCACTGGGGCTGGACAGTGCCCCCCTTCCCTGGGAGACAGGCTGCTAGGGCTCCCCAGGCCCAGGAAGAGGGGAAGCTTCTTGGGGGAGGAAGCACAGCTTGCACACCCGGACACTCAGGGCAGCAGGCGACAGTCCCAGCAGGGAGGAAAGGAGACTCAGGACAGCAGAGCAGCAGTTCCAGGTTTAATGGAGGGTGCACGGGCGCTGCACTGCCGCTCAGAGGGGACCCGCAGCCAGGAACCCGAGCGTTTGCTTTTTGTAACTCAATAGAGGAACGTGGCATAACTAAAAAAAACAACTCAAGGCCCCCCTACCCGCCTCAGGGACCTGGGGGGACATGGGTGGCTCAGCTGACTAGGCCTTCTCTTTGGGACAGGTCACCCCCATCCCCCCTGGTCCGGAAGCCTCCCCA